GGAAGATGGGCATGGATGTTAGCCCAGGGCCAGTCTTCCTCAGCAAAAAGAGGAGGATTGGTAACAGATGTTAGCTCAGGGCTGATCTTCCTCACACACACACACTCACACACACACACACAAAATACTGATTCCTGGATCTTACCCCCAAGAGATTCTGGGGTTGGGCCCAGGAGCGTCTGTTTTTAACAAACTTCAGAGTGGTTCCGACGGCCTTGTACAGGACAGGTGGTGAGACCAGAACGGTGCTACCGGTGCTGCATCTCAGTCTCGGCATCTTGGGGTTGTGGTTGGATTCTTTCTGGGTTAGTGGTTTGCCTGCTTAAAATGATATGGCTGGTGGTGGCTTTTCTCTTCAGGAACAGCGCTTAAAGTTTTTGAAACAGCAAGACCAGCGTCAACAGCAGCAAGCTGCTGAGCAGGAGAAACTTAAGAGGCTAAAAGAAATAGCTGAGAGTCAGGAAGCCAAGCTAAAAAAAGTGAGAGCACTTAAAGGCCATGTGGAACAGAAGAGGCTCAGCAACGGGAAACTTGGTGAGTTGCTCCTAGTGGGTTTACCTCAGTGAATCTACACGTTAGGCTATGTGTCAGACTGTTTGGGTGTAAGAACACACATTGGGGGCTGGCCCTGTGGCATGGTGGTCAAGTTCATGCACTCCACTTCGGCAGCCTGGGTTCAAGAGTTCAGATCCTGGGCTCGGACCTACACCACTTCTCAGCCATGCTGTGGTGGCGACCCACATACAAAATAGAGGAAGACTGGCACAGACGTTAGCTCAGGGCCAATCTTCCTCACCAAAAAAACCAAAAAAACCCCACATCAGTGTAGGAAGTTGATATAAATTTATAGTAAGTGAGAAGAAGAGGGTGAGACTCTCTATGTACATAACTTTAAAAGAATTTTTTTTCGAAGAGTATAGTTCACTGTGGTTTTGATGCTTCTGGTTCCCCTGAATTGAACTCTGCTGTTGAATGTTTTAGGCAAGGTTTCTAAGTTACCTTTGGAAAATGTACTAGTAGTTTGTTTTTTTCTCTCTAAATATTTTTTGACTGAAAATTAGGTGAAGGCAAGGATTTTTGTTCATATAATAGTTCCAGTTAGGGCCGGCCCTGTGACTTAGCCGTTGGGTGCGTGCGCTCTGCTACTGGCGGCCTGGGTTCGGATCCCGGGTGTGCACTGATGCACCGCTTCTCCGGCCACGCTGAGGCCACGTCCCACATACAGCAACTACAGGGATGTGCAGCTATGACATACAGCTATCTACTGAGGCTTTGGGGGAAAAATAATTAATTAATTAATTAAAAAAATAATAATAGTTCCATCTATTACAGTACCCTTTATTTTTTCAAATTACATTGCTTTATAATTTTATTTACTTATTTATTTTTTCCCCCAAAGCCCCAGTAGATAGTTGTATGTCATAGCTGCATATCCCTCTAGTTGCTGTATGTGGGACGCGGCCTCAGCATGGCTGGAGAAGCGGTGCCTTGGTACGCGCCCGGGATCTGAACCCGGGCCGCCAGCAGCGGAGCGCGCGCACTTAACCGCAAAGCCACGGGGCCGGCCCTACAATACCCTTTAAATTAAAGTTTTACTGATTGAACAGCTCCATCTACCACTATAAAATTGAGATTAAAATTTTTAAGGAAATCTCATTGTTTCTAAAATTTGGAGTTTAAGGTTTAATTATAGTCACAAAAAGAACTTTGCTAAAGATATGTTCGGAAAGAGGCACATTTAAAGATATCTGTGTTGATTTCAGTTGCCTAGAAAAGAAATAGGTTGGTTCCAGGACATTTCTGAAAAATTGCTCTCTTCTCTGTCAGAAAGTTTATTGTAAAGCCCGGTTGCCTGGGCAGTGTTCCATTCTTATTTTTCCTTTCCACTCTTGTTGCTTTTTTCCTTCTCGTTCTAGTGGAGGAAATTGAGCAGATGAATAGTTTGTTCCAGCAAAAGCAGAGGGAGCTGGTTCTGGCTGTGTCAAAGGTAGAGGAACTTACCAGACAGCTCGAGATGCTCAAGAATGGCCGGATCGACGGTCACCATGACAGCCAGTCCGCGGTGGCCGAGCTGGATCGGCTCTACAAGGAGCTGCAGGTGAACCCTCTGCTGTGAGAGACAGTGGGACCTCCTCTCTAGAAACAGAGTTGTCCAGAGAAGCGGAGGAAGTGCTGTTGGATTTCAGTTTCTTTTCCCTAAAGGAGAAGGGGTGGGGATGAGACCTAAACCCCAAAGAGTCCAGAATAAACTTTATAGTACTTCAAACAGGAGCTCAGAGGCAGCGCTTGTGACCACAGCCGGTGGTCTAACACTTGCTTTTAAACCGTGAGCTGAGAAGTGTGGAGGGGTGGAGGGACCCTACGTTTTTAGGAATTACGTAGTCGTCAGCCGTGTGATTATCTGTTTGTGAAATTCTTCTTCCTACTTGGCTACCTTTTTCTTCCCCCCCATTTTATTCAGTTAAGAAACAAATTGAATCAAGAGCAGAATGCCAAGCTGCAGCAACAGAGGGAGTGTTTGAATAAGCGCAATTCAGAAGTAGCGGTCATGGATAAGCGTGTTAATGAGCTGAGGGACCGGCTGTGGAAGAAGAAGGCAGCGCTACAGCAAAAGGAAAATCTTCCAGTAAGTGGGCCGTTTTGTCACAGGCCGGGGAGGAGGGAAGAGATGACCGGCCCGGTGAGGTCATTCATCACAGCCGCTTCTCAGAGCCATTACTCAGTGTCACTCAGACAAGAGAGACAGTGCTTCTGGCTCCTCCAAAGATAATGTTCTTGTACTTTTTAATGTTATTACTTATGTAGCTTTACTTTTCTCTCTAATACTTGTAATAAAGTATGGGTGAGAATTCATTGTGGAGAGTTTTTGTTTGGGGACATTTCTTGCCGGTTCTATGGCTAGATCCTGAAAGTGCTGATGTTTAAAAATTATGAAAATTTCACGGCCTTTTCTAGTTTGATCCCATGTGACTTGTAATACTGAAGGACTGTGCTTTTTCTTAAGGTTTCAGCCGATGGAAGTCTGCCCCAGCAGGGGGTGTCTGCACCGAGTCGCGTGGCTGCGGTCGGTCCCTATATCCAGTCGTCTACGATGCCACGGCTTCCCTCGAGGCCTGAGCTTGTGGTGAAGCCAGCGCTGCCGGATGGTCCCTTGTCCATGCAGGCTTCAGAGGGGCCCATGAAGGTACAGACGCTGCCCAATATGAGATCTGGGGCCGCTTCACAAACTAAAGGTAAAAACATTTCCAGGTCCTTCCACAGCTCACTTCTTCCCCATCCTCACAATTATTTTTCCCAAGTTTGAGTTTTAAAAAAAATTTGTCTTCCTATCCCTTGTTCATGATTAAATTCTAAGAATTTCTGCGTATTTTTTGCTAGAGCAATAAGTTTTTTAACCCTAAATAATAACGGTTCTGTTCGGGAACTGAAATAAAATGTAGTATTTTTGTAAACCTGAAAATTGTTTTGAATTCCTTCTTGTTAATAAGGAACTTTTGATCTCATGTTAATAACTTCAGAACTTTTCCTTTTGTGTAAAACCACCATGTATGTGAGTCTTAGTGGCGGCGTCTACAGTTGAGGTGGTGAACTCATTCTGTTGATGAATGGTGTTTCATGTGAACTTATGCATGAGAATTTTCCTGCTGGTAATTTTTAAAATAAAGACCAGCATATTGGGAGATAGAAGTGAAAATAACACAAGCTCCCGTGATCCTTGCACCCTGTGTAGTCCTCAGATCCGTGGGGAGGTGCAAGTCAGAGTTTTGTGATAGGAGGAGGAAATGAAAGGAGAGTTTTAGGAAAAGCAGGGTGAAAACATGCTTTAAAGACCTTATCATTCAGACCCCCTGGAAGAAAAAAAAAATAGCCAGTGTTGTCTCTGTTCTCTGACCACCGTCATGAGCTAACTTTAAAATGATTCAGTATTTTGCTGTATTTATCACCGTGAGGCAGTAGTGCCACGTAGTCTGGGTTTTGTTGTAGGAAGAGTTACTTTGGTTTCTATAAGGAATAATAAAAGCTGCAGTTTTGAAACTTAAATATCAATGTAGAAAAAAAGCTGAAATCACTGATTTGTGAAAGATGGTGGTCGAAGTCGTGGGTTAAAAGTCCACAGTTTTGCCTTTCTGTTGTGCGTACATCACCCGGGGTGTCTTTAAGATACACCTTAGAGCCCTGGGTCTGCTGAACTGGACATCTTCTGGGTGTGATGGTGACCTTTTTTTACCCAGTGAGGAGCAATGTCCTTGCTGGTTCGAGCCGACTTTCTGTTTACTGTGATTTATTTTAAATTGTTTGAGTAAGGGGGAAAAATCTGAAATTAGAAATATAAAATCTAATGTTTTCTAAATAAGTTTCCTGGGATTGTTGTGAGTCTGAAATTTAAAGCTGTTTTTTTTAAAAAAGAGATTAAACTTCTTAGCAAAATGAACCATTAAAAATCTCTTTAGAATGCCGGGTTATTTGCAGTGGCTTTTCTGCATTCTAGGCTCTAAAATCCATCAGCTGGGTCCTGAGTGGAGTCCTCTGAATGCAGACCTTTTCCCACCCCAGGCCTCTGCTTCTCTGCCCAAAAGCTCTGGGAATGCTTCAGACCAAGGTGAGGTTTATTTGTGCTGCTCCTCAATATTCTGTTTTGGCCATCTAAACGGTGCTGTGTATTCTTTTTTAGGTAGTTTATTTTCTAGTGTGTTAAAACTGGAGGCAGTATTTATTGCCAGCATGCTTTCATTTAGCCGGGGAGTTAAGGTACTAGCCTTGTAGTGTTTGGCTTATCCTTTAATCAACTTAATTTAAAAATGGGAAAGCATTTAATGGGTACAGAGTTTCAGAGAAACTGAGGAGAGGTAAACCTAAGCGTGAATAAGAAATTTTACTACAGACAGTTTGAATATCAGTGTGATTTTTTTTCCCTTCATTATCAGCTGATGATGGGGAGGTGCCACTGAGGGAGAAGGAGAAGAAAGTGCGTCCCTTTTCCATGTTTGACACGGTGGACCAGTCTGCTGCCCCGCCCTCCTTTGGTCCTCTGAGGAAGAACCAGAGCAGCGAAGACATCCTGCGGGATGCTCAGGTACTTAAGGGTATCCCAATTTAAAATGTAATGGTAATTCTGTATGCAATTTTTAGAAGAGAGAAAGTGTTATGTGAAGGAGAGCAGGAAAAACCAAAATATATCTGGAAGATTAGAAAATACAGCAGCATTCTGTTATCTTAAATTCTGTTGCTTGACTATATTCGGGGTCTCACACCATATTGGAGAATGATTGACATACTTGCTTTTGGGTCATATTTCATAAGATTTTCTAAAAAACATGAGTGCATTGAAGAAATCATGTTTGTGCTGCTCACTCACTTTGTTTCTTCAAAATGTGGAGCTGAGCCAAAATTTGGAGTCAAACAATTTGATGGCAAATCTTCTGTAACTATTAGAATCCCAGCCTTTGACAACCCGGTTATGGTTGCGTGCTCCAAATCTAGGCGTGTGTTACCACAGTGGCCTAGGTTGCATGACGTTGCGATGAACAAGGGTGGTTTTTAGTGCTTGCTGCCATCTGTGACTATGTAAAATTGCAGTTAAAAGTTTTCAAGTGGGCACTTGAAGTTGCCCACATAGGGATTGGCGACAAGGAGGGAGTGGTTCAGGGCAGGAATCGTATTGCATTACTGAAGTCCCTTATTAAATGTGGTTAAATTTAGAGATTTAAAACTTTTTAATGATTTAAAAATGTGGAGCTGGTATTTTTAGTGTATACTTACATTTGTGACATTAGGTTATCTAGAACATCCTGTGTACCCAGTTACACAGTATTTTAACTGGCTTTCTGTATGTTACAGGCTGCAAATAAAAATGTGGCTAAAGTACCACCTCCTGTTCCATCAAAACCAAAACAGATTAATTTGCCTTATTTTGGACAAACTAGTCAGTCACCGTCAGACGTTAAGCCAGATGGAAATCCTCAACAGTTGTCAACGGCTGTTGCATCCATGGGAAATAAGCCAAAACCAGCAGGGCCACAGCCGAGGGTCCTGCTGTCCCCCGGGGTCCCTGCGGTTGGCCAAGACCAGCCCCTTTCTCCAGGTTCTAAGCAAGAGAGTCCGCCCGCTGCCGCTGTCCGGCCCTTCACTCCCCAGCCTTCCAAAGACACCCTGCTTCCACCCTTCAGAAAACCCCAGACCGTGGCAGCCAGCTCAATATATTCCATGTACACACAGCATCAGGCTCCCGGGAAAAACTTCCAGCAGGCCGTGCAGAGTGCGTTGACCAAGACACATTCCAGAGGGCCACCCTTCTCCAGCGGTGAGATTCTCGGTCTTCTTTACACCCGCGTATGTGGTGTGTTGAAGTCCTCCACCAGAGCTACCGCCTGGCAGTAAACAGCAGAGTGGCCTGTGCCTGTGTTGACTGCTGCTTTTGTCTAAGAGTTTTGCTTAATTGTGGCTTCTGTTCTTAACTGAGGGTTCAAAAGAGTTTCTGCAAAATGTCAGCTACTGCAGTAGGCACTGAAGATAGTAGATGAATAAAATGAAATAATATGAAAATAATAGTTGAATAAGCTGAATAAAGTAGATGAGTAAAACCTGTAGTCAGCACATAGCCTCTGCATTGTAATTACTCGAGTGCATTTGTTTCTTACTGTCTGATGAGCTCCTTCAGAACTGGGAACTCAGGAGCTCGTCCGTGAGTGGGGAAAAATGCACACAGGTGTAATTACAGTGCCAGATGCAGTGTCTTCACTGTAGGTTTGACCAGATATTCTTGGTGCTTAGAGGATTGGACAACTGCTTCTGTGAATGTGTTTTTAAAAAAATAACACTTTCTAATAAATTTTAAGATCTAATGAGGACACAGCCACTAGTTAAATATAAAAACAAAAAGATTACTTTGTGTTAAATGTACATAATCTGGTCATTTGTCAATTTTTTCTAAGAGTCATTAGTTAGTTTATAGGACTAGAATAAAATTCACCATGTTTTAATTGAAAGAAACTGGCTTTCTCGTCATGAAATAAGCATGTAATTGTGGCCTAAAATGTCATGAACGTAATTAGACAGCAAAGAATTAATACATATGCCACATCTTACTCTCTTCATGGATCTTGGGTGAAAACTGCTAATGTGATAATTTGGGAATTAGGTAATTTTGATATAATCAGAATGTTAAGGGGAATAGTTTTGGTAATATAAGTGGTTCTTAATAGTTTTGTAAGCCAAATATGATTGCTCACACTGATTTACTTTCGAAAATTATAAAAGATAGGATAGTGTGTGTTTAGTTTTAATCTGGATGCATGAAAAGATTACCAATGTTCATTGATTCTAAAATTCTTCTCACATTTTGACATTTTAAATTTGGATGCTATAGTCAGTGATTTCTTACAATTATGATTGGCAGTGTTTTCTTTCTTATTGATGCATAAAATAATGGTGCGTGTTACCATCAGTGAGGATTTTGATTCTGTAAGAAGTTTATCACGCCAAGATGGAGGCCATGCTTTGTCATTTGTTATTTTTAAAAGTTAGTTGTACTGGAAGGGTATTCTGTAGTAACTGTGAAATTAAAAGAAGCTTTGATTATTGTTAGCTCTGTCTGTTACTTGCCATTTTGTTTAACACTAATCAGGGCCTTTTTTCCATTTCCAATTAGTATATGGCAAGCCTGTGATTGCTACGGCCCAGAACCAGCAGCAGCACCCAGAGAACGTTTATTCCAATAACCAGGGCAAACCCGGCAGTCCGGAGCCGGAAACAGAGGCCATTTCTTCAGGTCAGGAGAACCATGAAAACGAAAGAATTCCTCGGCCGCTCAGCCCCACCAAGTTACTGCCCTTCTTATCCAATCCTTACCGCAACCAGAGTGATGCCGACTTAGAAGCCCTCCGAAAGAAACTGTCTAATGCACCACGGCCGCTAAAAAAACGCAGCTCCATTACAGAGCCAGAGGGTCCTAATGGGCCGAATATTCAGAAACTCTTGTATCAGAGGACCACCATAGCTGCCATGGAGACCATCTCTGTCCCGTCATACCCACCCAAGTCAACTTCAGTGACCTCCGGCTCAGAAAGCCCGGTAGAAATCCAGAATCCCTATTTACACGAGGAGCCAGAGAAGGAGGTGGTCGCTCTGGTTCCTGAACCAGTGTCCCCAGAGGACGTAGGGAGTGGCAGTACAGAGGACAGTGACATGCCAGCTCCTTCTCCGGGCTTTGATTGTGTGCCCGAAGGAGTCCCAGACAGCAGCCCGAGTTTCCAGAACAGCGTGGAAGAACCGAATGCAGAGGCTCCCCATCTGCTTGAAGTGTACCTGGAGGAGTACCCCCCCTACCCACCCCCGCCATACCCGTCTGGGGAACCCGAGGGGCCAGGAGAAGACTCTGTGAGCATGCGTCCGCCTGAGATCACTGGGCAGGTGTCTCTGCCTCCTGTGAGTAATGTGCTCTCGTGATCATTTCAGGAGCCTTCTACCTTGTCACAGTCTTAGTGAAACACCGGCAGGTACTTAACGGCCATTTGCAAAAGATGGTTGTGTTTCAATTGCCTGTCCCAGCAAATGTGTTCTACAGTTTGCCTTTTATTTTGCAATTCCCTTGGCACAGAGTGGATCTCATAAATCAAAATTCACTATATTCAGTGTAAAGAACATTTTTGTTCTTTTGAAAGAACCCTTTTCTTTGTGAAGGAAAAAGAGTGTTTTTCTTATACCTATAAATAGCACCTTTGCTGTTTCTTCTCTAGCTGATGTCACCCAGCAGGGAAGCCACACTTGACTGGGAATGGGGAGACCCAGATTTGAAACTTGGTCACTAGCTTAGCTCTGTGAAATCAGGGGGATGGGTCCACTTCTGTCATTGGTGATACCACGCTTTCAAACTTCTCTTTTTCTAGCAGTGAAATTTATTTTATTTATTTATTTTTGTTTTATTATTATTTTTTTTGTGTGTGAGGAAGATCAGCCCTGAGCTAACATCCATGCCAGTCCTCCCCGTCTTTTTGCTGAGGGAGACTGGCCCTGGGCTAACATCTGTGCCCATCTTCCTCCACTTTATGTGGGACGCCGCCACAGCTTGGCCTGACAAGCGGTGCGTCGGTGCACGCCCGGGATACAAACCCGGGCCACCAGCAGCGGAGCGCGCGCACTTAACCGCTACGCCACGGGGCCGGCCCCTGCATGTGATAATATTCAAAGATAACGATTATCCAGAATTGTTTTAACTACTGGTTGCAGTAAACGGTTGCTTAAAAGTTTTACATAGTAAACACTGGATTCTAGGAAGAAAAAGTTTTAAAATAGAGGTTCATTTAAAGAACTCTGTCTTTATTTAAAGAACTCGCTTTATTTAAAGAACTCTGCCTTCTATCTACGTCCTGAGTCTCCGTTCTCTTCATTTGAGTCTTAAACACGCGAAAAGGAAAGCAGCTTTAACCTCTCCTTTTATTTCCCCTCCCTTTTTGTCGTTGTCTCAAAAAAAATACTCGCAAAGAGGAAGAAGGAGACCAGAATTCATAAAAGTATCATACTTTCCTTGTAAGGTTCTGTTATTCTCTTCCTAGGAAAATGATTTAGTTTTTCCTTCTTAGTTCCAGTAAATAGAAGCCACTGTCTTACGGTGTGTGTCAAAGTGGGTGTGGCAGGTCTCCTTACACTGTGCTCCTGTGAGTTGTATTGTCACAGTCATGCCGTGTTTACACGCCTTCTCTTTTTTCAAGGGACAACATTTTAACTGTTGCATATTTGTGAAATATATTGATTGCCACTTAATGTTTTTAAAAATTCAGTAGTTTTCCACATCTGAGATAAAGAGAAGCATGTATAGCATATCTCACCTTAGGAAACGTTTCCACTTTGTTGGATGTGTGTGTGGTTTTTTTTTTTATTGAATTATAATCGACATACAGTACTATGTTAGTTTCAGGTGTACAACATAGTGACTCAATATTTTTATACTGTTGAATGTGTTTAAGAAAACTCTTTTATAGGATGTTAGAGCTAATCTTTAAAATTTTGCCTTATTTTTTAAAGCCTGACTTATTAAAATGTAGAAAGACTTGATTATCTATTCGTGGATCTTGGAGTATAGTTAAATTTTTAGTATAAAATAATGATAGCATTTTAAGACTGGTAGGATTCCTTCTTGGTATATCCTAGACAGACTAATAACCTTTATTATTGACCGTAATTATACGCTTTCTCCCCGAGGAGCATTATTGTTGTGAAGTGGTTAAGAGGAAGGAGGGGCTATGAAGAAGCCAGATTACTTGGATTTGAATTCAGCTCTGATGTTTACTGGCTGTGTGCCTTAATTTCCTTATCTGTAAAGTGGCATCATAGGGTTTTTGTGAGGGGTAAATGAGTGATCATGCAGTAAACGTTAACTGTGGTAATTCTGAGCTGTGCTCTCGCCTGGTTTAATTGAGTGGAGTTTGTCATACGGTTAGCTAGGCAGTCTGAAGGCCAGTCTTGGCTAATTTTGGTACTTGACAGAAAGCCAGCTGACTGGCCATTGCAGGTTATATATACTCTTAGCTTAGTTCATGCTATAATGTATTACCAGATGTAATTCCACCAGGTTTTATAAAGTTCAGTTCTTCCCACTGTGTTACCTGGGTGTATTCATTGAGCTGTATATTGTAATTAATATACTTTTCTCAATAATGTTATACTTCAGTAAAATGTGCTAACTATATATATTTAAAGTTCCTTACTAATTCAGCTGAGATGGTAATCCTCCCCTTTGTTGGTGTGGTCTCTTTGATTTAGACCAGGCTCCTTAATTTTCCATGCATTTCTTTTGCAGGGCAAGAGGACAAACTTGCGTAAAACCGGGTCAGAGCGGATTGCACATGGAATGAGGGTGAAATTCAACCCCCTTGCTTTACTTCTAGATTCATCTTTGGAGGGAGAATTCGACCTTGTACAGAGAATTATTTATGAGGTATGATCTAATTAGTAAGTTTCTTAAATATGACCTTGTATTGTGTTTTAAATCTCTAATCAGAAAGCTACTGTAGAGAAATCATAGTTTTAAATTGTTTTCTTTTTTGGGAGGTGGGTTGTGGAGAGGAACTCGCGAGCATGCTCCAAAACAGGCTTTGCTGTTTTCAAGGTGTGACTAAAATTTTCGGTAATGTGGAAGTTCAGTTTTCACTAGGGTCCTGTAGAGTACTTTTCCTTCTTGGGGAGATCTTTACCCTTTTTAAAAAATTGCTCATGTATGGATTTGTACTAGATAGTGTTCAGTTACAGACGTGGTCCCTACTTTTCAGAAGTCTACTATTTAAAATATTTTTAGTTGACCTTTTTTCCTTTCTGTGGCAAATGTAACTTCTACTTAGACACTAATTTGTGGTGGGAAGTTGAAGGATAAACAAACAGAAGTGTCTATAAGGATATAGTTGCTGGACCTTCTCTCCTTCAATTTTTAAAAAACCTTTTTATAGCGAGTGCCTACTTAATGTGGTTATTCCATCTGTCTTCTTTCTGGAATTGTTCTTGGTATAGTTTTCTTGGCTCCTGTAGGTTTTAATTATGATTTTAAAAAAATACTGCAAGAGTATTTCTGTTCCCTTGATCCTAAAGAGCCAGTTAATAGTGACAGTTTGGGTGACGAGAAATGAGAGTGACGGTCACCCTCTCGCTGATGTTGCAGGTCGATGACCCGAGCCTGCCGAATGATGAAGGCATCACGGCCCTCCACAATGCGGTGTGCGCAGGTCACACGGAAATCGTTAAATTCCTGGTGCAGTTTGGTGTCAACGTGAACGCGGCTGATAGTGATGGATGGTAAGATCTTCTCTCAAATGCTACCCAGGCTTCAGTTGTCTCTGCTGTGTGGGCAGTGAATGAGCAGTGTGGTGCTGTCGGAAGGCAAAGAAGTGTGTCAGTGTATATATGTCCTCACACTGCGGTAATCCAGAAGGAGAAGCATGGTGGACGTGTTTGAGGGATTAGCATGACCTCAGGGCACGGTCATCTCTCTCCCCTTCTGGAAGCAGATGGAGTTTTAAAAGTTTAGTAGTT